ATCCGTCTGTGTGCAGACAGAACATTTTTGTGTTTGCACGCATTAACATGTATTTCCAGTAATTCCTGACAGTTCATATACATTTCCAGGATGTGTTTATGTGCACATATTGTTATTTACTATAAAGTGTAAGTTTCCTAACGAGCAGGAACTTTAGATTCAACTGAAGCAGAGAAAAACACTGAAAAAAAACAAAAAAGTGGGATGAATTGGTTTCCAGCTGACAGCTCTGGTATGTTAATCCCTAAAAACACCTCCCTTCCTCCTCCTCCTCCTCCTCCTGCAGTCAGGAATGCTGCAGCAGGTTATAATTGGCTCCAGGACGGAGCGAGGGAGGATGAAAGAATGAGAGAAAAGGTGGAGTGATAAAAAAGACGGAGAGGGAGAGATGTGAGCGAGGAGATTTGGTTTTGATTTGCTCGGCTGTCGTCCAGAAGAAGAAACTCTGATTTCCAGTTTTCTGTTTGAAGTTGTGACTCAGAAAAATCTGCTGCGTAAATCTCTTTTCTCTCCTAATTTTAGCTGGAAGATGTTAGATCACAACTGTTGGGAGAAATCAGGGGGGACGACACGCGAAGTGGGTCAATTTAAACTTCTCAGAAAGATCAGTTTCTGAAACAAAAATCATTTTAAAAGTATTTTTATAACGAAGGGACGTCCCAAATGTCTTGTTTTATTAAAGGAAATCTCTGCTGGTTTCACCTTTCTCAGCACATGTGGGCCAGACCTCCAATGAGGAGCTAAATACACAACGTTTAGATACTTGACATAAAGTCTGATTGTGGTTTCAATCAGAAATCAAACATATGCAGACGACCTTCATTCATCACAAACTAATTCAGAGTTAGCAGTAAATTGTGTCAATATTTGCTGTAACAATCAATAAATACTCCCTTCCTCTTGCTGTTGTGATCAATAATATTGCTCTGAAGCTCATCTATAAGTAGGTTTAAGTAACGGACATCAGGTGTTTTATATAATTCACAATATTTTCCAAATCCTAACCGATGTGCGACTGTTTGTCTGTTGGACTGTTACAGTTTGGGTGAACCTTATCGAGCCTGGTTGTACGCCTATTATTTTATCATACATGAACAAAACACGAGGCCATGTAAGTCCAAATGTTACGCTGGAGTTGAGAGAAACACACGTCCATTCACAGAGAGAAACCGTTCAGCTAACTCAGGACAGGTTAGCCGCTGTCTGATGACGATTCTCTCGTATTTATTGACCGTGGAGAACCTGCACATCCAGAAAAGACCCTAAAAGACGCCTACAGAGCCTCATTTTGAAGCAGAGGACCACTGACCAAGCAGCAGTATTTGAGTTGAGGTTGAGAAGACTTCAGATCTCCCACAAAGTTTATTTTAACCATGACGACGATTGTTCGGTTTTGGTGCCTGAACATTAACCTTAGTGATGGCAGATCAGAAGACGTCGTATCCAGATAGCAACGCTCATATAGGTCGTTTATTTAAAGCAAGGACAAACCTCTGGACCTTCTACACCGGAATAAATGCACCTAAATACATTAAACATTATAATATGATCGGGATACATTTCCATAAACGTGGACAGAGAGGATACAGGTTTATTCAGAGCTTGTATATTTAATTCCACTTTGCCCCTCATTCTCTCTCCTTGCTGCTGGATATCTAATCGTGATCCACAGGGATTCACCACAGCTCTCACCCTCAGCATTCATGAATATTCACAGTCAAAAACCAGCATTCGTTAAGATATCTGCTCCGAAGTGAAAGTGGCTGACGGACGACAAGATCTTGTTCACAAATATGGACTCAGAGACCGGAGACGCAACTTTAAACACATCCTGTTTCATGAGACTTACAACAAGCAAATAAAGAGACGACACACATTTTGATTCCTCTTGGAGACAGAAGCTCGGAGTTATTCTCTACAACGCTGACTAATTATCTACAGTATCACTTCAACGAGCTACCGGGCCTCGTTAAAGGAAAAAAAACAACAACAACAACAAAAAAACAAAATTGGAAACAGATTGCTCGGGAAAATTAACTCTGTCATGTTCCCGTTGTTGTGGCCACATTAAAAAATAACCGGACTAAAGTGAACGCTGTATGTAAAACATGGCTGAAGGCTACAGACTGAATTTAAAAAAACCTCCCGAAAACAAATAAATAAAATAAAAATAAAAAGCCAGAATAAAGAATATAAAGACATTTATTCTAAAGGTGGAAGAGTTTCAGTCTCAGTGTGAGCATTTGGTTTGAAGAGTCGACACACAGATGGAGTCTATCTGAGGCTGAGGTCAGGAGGAAGAGGAGGGTGGTGGTGGTGGTGGGGGTTCTCTCTATCTCTCTATCACATCTGTCTTTGTTCAGAGTTCACCATTTTACAGTAGCAGAATCTTTTGTAAATGTCAAACCCGCAGATCGCGACCTACAAGGTGCACAAAGGAGAGAATGGTGACAGAATAGCAGCCGGAGATGAGAGGACTCCAGGAGAGAGACAGACGTTGTTGAAACAGAAAGAGACAAAAAAGTGTGTGAAGGGAAAATGAAAAGACGGAGGAGAAGACAAGTAAGGGGAAACGAAGAGGAGGCCCGCGGGGTTATTCATTGTGTCTCGGTCCTGAGAACAGTGTCTGACACCGTGTATGACATTTAACTGTGATGCCTCTGCCAGCGCGCTGGTGTGTGTGGAATGTGCCTGTCAGCGTTCATTTCAGCGGAGACAGTTGTTTGTCTTTTGTTTATTGGCTGTGAGTGACAGACAACAGAGATCTAAGGTTTGTTAAACTAGGCTTCAACTCACTTCTTTAGGGCGGGAGATATATAGGGGTCTATACAAGAGCAGTGGTTTGATGTAACCCCAAGGGCCTGTCAAATGAAACCGAAGGACCCCTTCATCAAAAACAATCCATCACGTTTGTGAATTAGAATTTATTTTAAACAGTCGTATTTAATGCTATTAATTATATAAATGTGGATATTGCCCCTTTTTTAAAATATAATTTAAGTGCTTAAAATGACATAATTTTACATATTTATCCATCTATTTCCATTACTTTCAGCAGTCTATTTCAACAATTAAGGCCTATTCATTGCTTTTAGCTTAGAATTTTGTTTATTCCGTTTTATGCAATTTTACCCACTGATTTCAATTGTTCTACTTTTAGCAACTTTTTTAATTTATTCATGACTTTTAGCTGTCTATTGCAGCCATTTGTCTAATACTGTTAAGCAACTTTTTCAACTGTTTCCATTACTTTTTATGCTGCTGTTCTTGCTTTAAAATTCATTACTGGGTGCCCAGTTAGCTCAGTGG